GGTATTTCAACATGCCATCGCGCTGACGCTAGTCGCATGCAAACTTGAACCGAGAAGCCTCATTCGTTGAAGCAAGGCCACGCGGGTCTTGGACGCTGAGCGAGCGCAGCGTCATGCGTGGGACGCGGGCTCTGAGAAGCGATGGCCGCAGTATAATCGCCGACTCCGGTATCGATGATGCTACATCGCGCAGGCTATTACTCTACTGACACCCGTACGCGCAAGTGGTCGAGAGGTGACAGGCGCCATCTCCTGCTGCCGTCCCACTGTTGCCGACACGAGAGACGCACACAAGCAAGCAGAGCTCCACCACACGCAGAGCGCAGCGACCACCAGCGTACTCCATACCTTTCATGCGTGCTGCAAGGACATGGACGTTTGGTTTTGATGAGATTTGGATCGTCTACAGGACTGGACATGCACGGGATCTCCTCGCCACTACATAGTCGGTACTAGTACCTTTCAACTTTGCAGTCTGTATGGTGTGGCGTGATTGCTTGGCCGACTGAACGTCCGCTCATCGTGGCAGCTTTGCATTCCGTCAAGTGCCCTGCATCTCGCCTGGACGAGGTGCCTGGACGGGCTTGTGTCGACTCACCACAGCAAAATTCCTGTGAAAAATCCTCCCACATGCACTGCACCACCTCCTGCCACCATCCAATTTGAAGTACACCAGCAGCGACCACAGCTCGCTATCACTTTCTTGCGCCGTTTACACGACACTTTCGGTTGGTTGTCATAACGTAGGTGGACACTCTTATTACCGTAGTACCCGACGAGTTTACGGAATATCGTACCGTGAACGACCTCGGTGGTGGTATTCGTGTGCCCTCTCGATGGCCCAAGGAGCTGTCCAAGCGTGTACGTTCCATGCACTCTGCGTGCTCCGTTCGTGTACGAGCTCGAGCCACCCAGCGACCCACCGAGGCTCTAGTGCCTTTTGAAACAGAGACAATACTGTCCACTACACTTGTCCGGATACTAGAGGGAGTCATTGGACAATCGAGAAAAAAGCACCAACGCTTCGATCGTGTTGGCGGTGAATAAAATAGTTCCTAACCCTAGTAGTCCTAAATGGCGTGTTAGCACGCCAGCGGCCGTGCATCGTCGTGCTTGGCGAACGACGAGAGTGCCATCGTGAGCGTCTCGTGCACATACTGGTGGCGCTCGAGTGCCATGAGCCGCTGGCGGTCGTCCGGCGACGTCGTCTTGACCGACGGCAAGACGTTGAGCTCAAACTCGAGTAGATTCTGGTCGTCGTCGTCGTCGTCGTCGTCGTCGCACCAGCACCCGCCTTCTTCGTCCGTCATGTACGATGTGTCGCACGAGTGCATGCTCGTGTCGGGCCGGGCGAGCGATATCGGTCGCAAGTCGTAGTGGACTTCATGGTACTTGTCGCTGCTCTCGATCATTTGGTTGGACGCGACCACGAGCGTCGTGCACAGCGCCGTTGACGCCGCCGGCTGGTACTTGATCTTGGCCGGCGACGTGTGGTGCTTGCTGTTGTCGTCCAGGAGCGCCCAGTCGTCGTCGTCGTCATCGATCGTATGAAACTCGCCCGATTTGAGCATCGGGCGCTTGCCCTTCCGGGACGTGGTCGCGTCCGGCTCGGCGCACTCGAAGCACATGCGCTGCGGCTCGCGCATGCGGCCCTTGATGCGAATGCCCTGCGTGCACTTCCAGCAAAACACTTCGCCACACGCGCAGCAGTTGGCCTTCCACCGCAACGGGCTAAACTTGCGCGTGCAGAGCTGGCAGTGCTTGCGGTCGCTCAACGGCACGAGCGGCACAAGCAGCGACGACCGCGCTTTGATCGAAGGCGCTTCGTTGATCCACTGGCTGAGCTTGATGAGGCTCGACGCGCGGTGCTTCATGATGGTCTTGTAGATCCACGCCGGCGCAACGCCCTTGAAATCGAGCTCGACGCGGCCGTGCACTTCGAGCCGGCCCGGCGTGTCGGTCTCGAGGAAGAGATAGCCCGAGTTGTACAGCGAGCCGCGAATGAGCTTGAGGCTCGGCTTGAGCTCCGGGCACGTCGGCAGCCGAATCGAGTGCTGGGAGACGGCCCACGCGCGGCGCCCGGACGCAAGCGCCCACTGGCGCTGGACCTCGAGGACGCAAAAGTCGCGGTTGTTGAGCGGCGTCGGGCACTCGGCGACGAACCAGCGCACGACCGCATGCATGCCGGGCTCCTTGGTCGTCGGCGACACGATGCGGTGGAGGATCGCCATGTCCACGAGATCGCTCGTGTAGTGCTCGAGCGACGCCTGCATTTGATCGTCGGTGAGGTTGGCCATCGCGTCCTGCACCTGGTCAATCGTCGCGGCCATCGACGTGACAAAGCGGTGCGGGCGGACGCGCGGCTCGTTCGGGAGCGCCGGACCCTGAAAGATCTGGACGCCATGGTGGTCGCCGCGGAAGCTCCAGCCGGGCTCTTGCATCGGATGCGTCCCGTACGTTGACGAGAGAAACGTGTTGAAGGTGCGGTGCGAGAGGTCGTTGAGGTAGCTCAGCTCGGCCTGCGAGAGCGACGGCGCCTCGACAAAGCCCGGCGGGAGCTCGTCCAAGAGGCCGCTTGTCGGCTTGCGACTGACGGGGGCCATCGTGCGATATCTATAATGAGAGACGATTTGTGGTGGCGCCAGCGTTATAAAGACGCGATCGTTCAAGAATGCTATCTCCGCGTCCGATTACTGGCCTTTCCCAAGACACGCCCGAACCCAATCAAAACGCGCGCCATAGATACGCTCGCAAGGGCAAAATGGCAACCCACTTTAGGAGGGGAGACATGTCCGCACCAGAACGTTCTTGCCACGCCAAGCCGCGCGCTCTCCACCTGCGCAGTACCCAAACAGTACCGGAAATATCGTGGCTCTCGACGCCTTGTACGGTATGGTGCACAGAGCGCACTGCGACACGACACGTGCTCGTGATACCGTCTCGCAAGCGCCTGCAGCTTTGTATGCACCGCGCATCGTCGCCTGTACCCATCGTAACCTTGCGGTTTACATGTATTTTGGATCGAAGCCGGTTGTTCTCCATTGGTTGTTCTCGAAATCCCTATCGTTTATATGTTGCTGCCACCGAGGTTGAGCGGGCGACTCGTGTCGTTGGTTGGACGACCCAAATACGAAGCAACCCATGCGATGTCCCAGCATACCTGGCGCAACTTCAACCAAGGACGTGCTGCACTAACGCTCGTCGTGCGCGCTCGCATTGGCTACAACACGTCATTTGCCCTTAGCCTAGATGTGTGTCTGGTATGGTGTATACAAACATCAAGTGTGGTCGAAAGCCAAAGGACCTCCAGGAGAGGCGGGGCGACGCGGCCGGTGGCGACACGGGAGACGCAAAGTCCGAGATGCTCGTTGCCCGTGGCAAAAAAGCGGCCGCCGCGTCTGATCGAGAGAAAGGTTACCGTCGTCGAGCGGTCGACGGCGTTGACAGGACACCACCCGAATCGAGGTACCTGGAATGGAGCAAGCTGCCTATCCTTGGTCAAAAATCCTTCCACTTGGTGGGCGGGCGCTGGCGATATGCTGGCGTATGCACCGCCTACCAGAGAGGGATCGGCGGTATCGCTCTTGTGTCCTGCGTGCTGGGACAGCGAGGCAGCAGGTGCAGTGCGATTTTCTTTACCACGCGCGACAGGACCACTCTGGGCATGGGCGCCCTGTTACGCCGAGGTATGGCACAATATGGATGCAAGAGGCCGGAACGTTGGGTTGCTTTTGCACGTATGGTTGCCGACGCGTGGAACCGACATGGCACCTGACGCCGTTGAGTGGCGCCACTCGTGCGACACGAAGAAGATAGTCCCAGAATCCCAACTGCATGCGTTGAACATACTCGTACAACCCGGTTCTCGTGAGCATCCAACCCATTCGACGCATACAAAGACGCATAAAACGCGATTGGTCGTCGACTCGCAACGGTTTGTGCTCGTCGACTTCCTACGGCTCCCAGGCAAGTTTGGACAGCACGATGTGGTGGTGATGATGCCCGCTTGCCCGTTGGCGTCATGCGGCTTTTCAATGAGTCTGTCTTGGGTGGTGATGTTATGAGCGGCGTCGCACCGCCATGGCTTCCTCCGACAGCAAGCGGCCGTTGCTATGCACCTGATCACCGCCGTCGCTATCGACCTACACTCGTCGTCGCATGAGGCTTTCCCATCTTCAGGTTTGGTGTGTTTTCGATTCAACGAGAGAATTTGGCGCCAACGAAACAACACTAAGTTTGGGTTTGAAAATTGAACTTAACGGCGACAAGCCGGTCAGAACGTCGAGGCGCACGACCCGACCAAGAGCGGATGTCCATCGAACGACGTACATGACATCGCCGTGTCGCCGAGTTGATCGCACATCTTGGTCGCTACATGTCGTCAATTGTCCGATCTTCCGCGTCAAGTAGGTGCCGTTGGAGCGTCCCACGAGCCAGCACTTGCGGTATTACCTATGCACCGCGAGCTGCCGACGCGCGTTGAGATATGTCGTCGTCGTCATCCACCACTGACAGCAGTTATCGTGCGTGGTGGGGTGCTCAGTGACGTAGCGCTCCCGTGCTGATAACCTCGTATCCTGGGTGGTCGTTGACGCTTGGACAATACCTTAGTTTGATCTTGCAAGTTGGCACTGCCTTCTCACTCGACAGCTACTCGACAGGCATCGCAGAACTGAGCGAGTGACGGAGAGAACTTCAACTTGCTTTGCAAAACTTCAGAAAGGATGCCAGTGCTTTGCCTAGCGCACAGTGGGATGCCCTTGGCACAGGGAGAAGCACGAAGACCGCCATCGCGCCACGGCGGCGCGGGTCGTCTCGCTCATAGCGCTCAAGGTATCGGAAGGAAGAACTCCTCAGACGAGATAACCGTGACGACCGACGCACCGATACGAAGAGATCCAGCTATCGAACGTATCATGCAATATGCGTTTGCAGAGGTTTTGGGAAATCATGCAATATGTGTTTGCAGAGGGTTTTGGACAATGGCGAGAAAGGGCAACTTGCCAACATGCGATCGAGTCGCAAGCTCGAGCGACCGGCGAGCTTCGCCGACGCCAAGCCGCTGCAAGAGTCGGAGCGGCTCTTCCTCGAGACGATCGCGGCCGACGCCTTTGAGCAGTTTCTCTCGTCAGCGATGGAGCGGTCGCCGGTCTGGTCGCTCCTCGGCGACTTCAACCACGTGACTGTCTACGAAGGCCCGGCGCTGCCGTCCGAAGACCGCATTGTGCCGTACCGTGGGTCGCTCTCGCTCAACGGATCGCTCGACGAAGTCCGCGCGATGCTGAGCAACCTCACGGCCGATCAAATGGCGTTCACGCAAGAGCACCACAATGACGGCATGCTCGACATGGCGATCCTCCACCACGTTCTCGAGCCGTCGCTCCGCGACCCGTTCCGGCACGTCGTCGTGCGCTGGTTCGTCCTCGAGTGCCCCAAGCCGCTCTACCACCGCGACTTTTGCGTGCTCGAGGTACCTATCTTGGTCGCTGCTAGTCTGCATGCTTGCTCATAGACGCAAAAAGAATGGCTCTTGCCCGGTGGGCGGCGGGCGTGGGCCATTGCACAGCACTCGGTGACGCTACCGACATGTCCAGACCTGAAATCCAACCTCATGGTGGTCCGCGGCTCCATGTACAACAGCGGGTCCGCTCCTCGTGCGTCGCTCCACCTTGTCATCGTTCGAGTGTCTAGGCTTGTCTTTCTCGAGAGCGATGTACCCGGCGTCCTGAACGTACACTCGCACATGGAGGTCAACCTCAAGGGCGCGATGCCCTCGTGGCTCTACAAGAGCATTCTCAAGCGGCACGTGGCCCGCATCGGCTACATAGCGTCGACGATCCACGAGTTTCGCTTGGCCGAGTGCGTCCAGAGCTACTTCGTGGTGATGGTGCCGCTCCGCGAGCGGACGCACTGTACGCAGTGCCTCAAGCGCTTCCACACGCTGCGGCGCAAGTGGAACTGCCGGACGTGCGGCGAAGTGTTTTGCTACAAATGCACGAGCAGCTTTGAGCCCAAGGGCCACAAGACCAAGCGCGACCAGCGCGTCTGCTCGTTCTGCGCCAAGTTTATTCGAGAGCAGAGCACGAGTTCGATCCGGAAGAACGTGTTTAGCGACCTCTGCCTGCACATGTCCCCCGGTACGACCATGATCGGTTTCTGCAGTTGAGGATGATGCTGATGCTCGGTAGGTTACCAAGGCTTGTCGCCAACGTACGATGATGAATCTTCCATGCCACACCGGCAGCGCAAATTGCGCCTCTCGCAAGACGACATGCGCCGACTCATGAAGGCCACCGACTCGGACCCGTGCATGCGCAGCTACTAGCGTCTCCATGTTGCTGCTGTCTCTGTAAATGCGACGCGTCTATTGTGTATGCGTTGCGTGGTCTGCAGCATGCAGGCGCTGCGCCAGGAGGCTGGCTCCAATGCGGCCATGGCTCGGGAGCTCAACGATGCGACGCCGCCGTCCTAGGCGCCAAGTGCTGCAGCTACCGCCAGGCAGGCACTGGAAGCGACGGGTTCGCCAAAGCAAGACGTGGCCGCAGCTCGCGCTGTCTGGGCTCGTAGGTCATATGAGCTTGCTCACGCCGTCGCGGCTGGCGGGTACCAGTCGCAGGCTAAGGCTATTGCGCTGTGTTGGTCGGCTAGGTCGTTGGCCGGCTGGTCGGCTGGGGCGTTGGCCGGCTGGGCGCCTTGCCGCTTCACAATCCGATGACACTTTTTTGCTGAATTTTAAAATCAAAGATCGCTATCCGGATATTCGACCGAAGGACGCATATAGTGTGAATTAACTTCTGAGCGCACTTGACAGCATACGATTATCGTCGTCGAGGGCGCACTGCACTGAGCGTACACAAAATTCCATAGCCATTCTTGGCTTCTTGATCATAAGCGCCTGCTGGCGTGACGAATGGAGTCCCCTGTATCGACCTCGACACCTTCGAACACTATATGAGTGTGATTGTATAGTGTGTACGAATTGCCTGCTATACAAACGTGCAGTCAACGTGGCCGGCGGCGTATCCGGACACGTTTCGAAGGATGCAAAATCGAACCTTCCCAGCACAGCACGAGGAGATGGAGGCGTCGCTCATGGCCAAGTCGGCGGGACCGTCCGCCAGCGGCGACCCGTACTACGTCTTCAAGGAGTAGGCGCCAAGCGACCTGCAAAGCGGATGGCTCATGCGCGCCGTAGAGACCTCGAGAGCAAGGTATCATCAATCCACCAAAAGTACAAGCGCTGGAAGCACCTCCTGGACGCCCGCGATGCGTCACCGACCAAGGACTTTGGCAAGCTCACCGACGGTACGGTATGCCACGCAGAGCACTCTAGCTCACGCTGTGCAGAGCTGACCAAGGAGCTGGCGACGGCCGAACGGTCGCTGGGCTTTCTCGAGCAGAGCATCCGCGCGATCGAGGCCGACCGCACCAAGTACGCCCACATTGATCGCGTCCAAGTGTCGAGTCGAAAGAGCTTCGTCTCGGACACGCGCCAGGTACAAACGGCTTGCATCACGAGGCTCATGCGTGCGTGGCGCAGGACTTGATGGCCATGACGGCGGCGCTGACCTCGGACGCGGCCAAAAGCAAGGTTCGCCGCGACGAGCGCAAGGTACCGTGCGTTCTTGTCGCTTTCGATTGTGCGAAACGATGGCTGTAGATGCTCGCGCCATTGACGCCGGCGCCCATCGACCGCAACTCGATCCTTGCCGACGAAAAGCAGCACCAACAGCAGATCATCAAGGAGCAAGACAAGGACCTCGACGAGCTCCACACGTCGGTTAACCGGCTCGGTCAAGTCGCGGTGACCATCAACTCGGAGATCAAGTCACAGAACGAGTAGGCAACGGGATGTTGCAACAACGAGTATCATCATGCGTCTCCCTCTAGGATGCTCAAGGACGTGGACGCCGACTTGGATGACACGACCGAGCGCATGAATTTTGTCATGGCCAAAATGAGTCGGCTCCTGAAAACCAAAGGTATCGCGCTCGACCATTGAGATTGAGATTGAGATTCGTCTCCAAACCTAGACACGTGCCAGCTCGGCGGTATCATCTTTCTCACGATCGTGCTTCTAGTCATGGTGTTCCTTGTCATTTATACATAAATCTGTGCGCCCCTCTGTATCGTCTGATCGCAAAACCGATAGCATTCCTGGCATTTGTCGCCGCTTGCGATGGGTCCCGGTGCAGCTACAGCGCGCTTCGTCAGCGATTGTGTCTTTTGTTCAGACGATCTGTTCCACCTTTGTACGCACCAAATGCGCCGGTCCAGCCCAGTGGCGCTGGCAGTCAGCCCACCAACCCTACCCCTCGAACCCACACGTTGGTTCTTGACACGATCAAAAGCGCGGGAGCGAAGCGCGTCTTCTTCTACATAGCGATCACATGCTTACGAATAAGGCATTGCTTGTCGGCCGCCATGCGTTGTCAGCAGCCTGGTGCGCTTCTTTTTGGGACGCAAATCGTGAATATTACGAATGGAATATACAAAACAAGATTGTCGGTCACGCCGACTGGGTGCTTGCGTGTGGTGCTCGCCATGTGTGGACAAGGCCGTTGGCTTGGTTGCACTGGCGTAGCCGAAGGCTCTTCTTGCGGTCGAGCTTGCGTTGGTTGGCGTTGGCTCGAATACGGTGCATGTGGCACAGGTTCAAGTACGTGCCGTCGGCTTTTTGCGCGCGCACGTGCCGGCACTTGCCCGTTGAGTAGCGGCAGAGACGGCCGGTGGCGGCGTCGGCCGGTGTCGCCAGCGTGTCGTCCTGGCTGGCGTACACGACCGAGCGCTTCTCGCGCGGTCCCTTTCGAGGCGGCGCGGCTTCAAACTGCGCAATGAGCTCGCTGCGATGGAGCTGCGCCGTCGAGAGCTTGTGGCGGCGCGTCATGAGGTTGCGCCGGATCTGCGCAAGCGACGCCGCTCGGTTGCCCCTTGACGGCGCTTCACTGCTGTCGTCAGGAGTGCGCCCCTGGCTAAAGCTCACGAGCACCATGGCGATCGTCGAGTCCATTGGCAAACGAATGGACGAACGAAGAGTGGGCGACCGTCGTCCGTGCGAGGCTAAAGATAGACGCGCGATCTGAGTTTTCATTTCGATAGCCATTTGGAAATACGCGTTTAGTTGTCCAGTGGTGGACTATAGTGCTAGCGTTGTTCATGACAAATAAAGGGCGGCTGCGTGTGAAATGCCCTCGAGAATGTCGTCGATAGACAAAATGGGGACGCCAAAGACCGCGATCTTTGCGCGGTCGACGGCGATGCATCGCCTAAGAATAGCCGACAAAGTCTAAATTTGGTGGTTGGTTTCACCAATTCTATAGGACGAGGGTATACCATATCTTTTGTATTTTTGAATTGAGAGAATACAACAATTCGCTTGCTTCGAATCCTCGATAGCACCGACGCTGCATTCACGCAGGTGACTGTCTTGGACGAGCCCAACTTTTCTTGCGGGTACGACACTCGCTGTCGACGACGATGGCCACTGGTGATGCGATGTGATTCACAAATTTCTGACTTCTTGTCGCTTTTACATCCAGCATGTCTTGAGCGTAATTGGGGGTTGTACTGAAACAGGGGCTTGAACAAGTAGGAAAATAGAATAGTGGTAAAATCAAGGTATAAACACAAAGGACTTCTCATAACACCAGCGTCCGCTCACACCGTCTTGGAATAGCAACGGTGGACGTTCATCAAGAGCCAGCAACTCAAAACTCAATTCGAGCTTCTGGCCGACATCCCGAGTCAACGGACGTGGTCACGTACGATCATCAAAGTCATTTGTGATGTCAACTTTGAAAACAAAGTAGAACTGAACTGTACTGTAGAAAATGATCCTGTATAAGTACGGTCTTACTCATACTACCGTAAATTTGAACGTTGCTAGGTAAAATATCGCATGATTCCTTGCGTAGATTTCACTACACCTCATTAAGAGGCAAATGAGATGACGTGATTTCTGCATGGCGCATAGAAATCCGCATAAAGCCAGGTGTTTCCGCATAAGATATGATGGTTTTACAGGAAGTAGCGTATATTTACGGTAAATTTATTTCGGCAGCGTGATTTTGAAAAATGACACCATATGGGTGGCTCGAAACACACTATACTAGAGATGGACGATTTAGTGTTTGTACTGAACTGGAAAATGAAATAAAATTAGGACATGTTTGGTGCAAGATCCGAAACGTGGGTTTGAAAACCGGCATTTGGACGCGAGTCGTGCCAGTGGTGCTTCCTGGAGGATGTGCTCGCGTACAACTACGAGCGTCCTACGCCGACGACGCGTTGACTTTAGTTCAACTTGTAGCCATTAAATCATTTGTTATCGTCACGACAACGTGCGTACTAGTACCCCACTCGCTCATGGTTGAAAAAGTGATACGAACCATCTTCGCCATTTTTGCCTTGCTGGTTATTCACTCGGATACAACGACTGCACTAGGCTTGGGGATCAGACACAGCCCCGCTAGCTTGCGCGCAAGCCCGCTATGGGTATTGAGCGTGTGAACGAAATCGCCCGTGGGTTTGCAGTACGTGATGACGCCGCCACCACCAGGAAAGAGCGCGACGCCGACAACATCGGAAATCACCGGACTCGTCGTCATCAGTAGCCGGACTGGCCCCGTCAACGCCAGCGAGAGGCCGCCGGCGAGTGCAGTCTCGTCGTCGACGACGTCCAACATGAGCGAAGCCACAAGATCCGCAAGACGCAAGCGCACAATGTCGCGGTTCTTCTTGACGATGTACCGACCCGGGCAGTTGGGGATCATCTTCCACTTCCACTGGCTCCTATCCAGCGCATGAGCGTGCATATAAGGCATTGTCATGGTTGTAGTGAGTTGTGATTTGAGTTGTTCAGCAATCAACTCCAATCACACCTCAGTACAACCATGAGCGTGCATATAAACAGTGTATGACAACGCACCACAAACACTGGAGTGCCGCGCCGCCGTCGCCGACGAAGCGGCCGTCGCCGACAAATGTGCTCGCCATCCCGCCGTTCCAGCCCTGATGCCGGGAGCTGATTGGCTGTTCATTTTACACCGACCACGTGCTAAATTCGATCGAAGTGTTTTCCACACACTAAATACACGCCAGTATTGGACCAAACCTTGCTCCAGCTGACTTCACGCTGAATCAGAGGATGCTCTCTTGGCATCACTATCTAGTCTATTCGTACTAGTCCGAGAAATGATTCAATGGGTGTCTTCTCGCAAGCTGCATATGCAGGCATGATATGCAGGTATCTCCTTGCCTACTCGCAAGGCGGCGTGCGATTACACGGGAACGAGGATGCGATCCGTACTTATCCGGACACCAAATTGACGCTGAAGATGCAAAGAAAGACCATTTCGCCACGAGCAAGAGCATGGCGACCCTCGCGCCGTTCAACCCGACGGGCGCCGGTGCCATCGACGTCGCCTTGCGCCTCCTTGCGCCAACGAAGGACGACGTCGTCTACGACATTGGCTGCGGCGACGGGCGGCTCCTCGTGGCCATTGCCTCGCAGTGCGGCAGCCGCTGCATCGGCATCGAATGCGACGCCAGCCTCGTCCAGCGCGCGCACGCCTTGATCCACGCGCATGGCGTGAGCGACCGCGTCACGATCCGCCAAGAAGACGCGACGACGTCCGACTTTTCCGACGCGACGCTCCTCTTTCTCTACCTCGTGCCCAAGGGCATCCAGGCCATGCTGCCCATGTACGCGCGCTCCTTCTTCGCATACTAGTATGTACTAGCGACCAAGGAATAGGCTCGAGGCCGCCAAGGCGAGTGGCGTCCGCATTTGCACCAACATCTTTTCGATACCGTCGTGGCAGCCGACGGCCACAGGCGACTACAAGGGCACCAAGGTATTTGTACTTGTTTCCTCCTCTTCTGACGCGACAACCGCACGTATAGATCTACTTGTATGCGTAGCCGCGCTTTTCGACCGGCGCGAGCTGTGGGTTACCTATACTATTTATTCAAACTTGTTCTTTGTAGTCCTTTGTCGTAGTGCAGATAACACGACGAGGAGTTGTTGCTGTGGTCTTCGTAGATGGCCTCGCAACCTCTTCCGTTAGGGCTGTGCTAAAGCGTCCGACGCGACGCGAGCCGTTGCAGTCGCGTCTTGCCGCTTCCGGCAACGTCAGCATGACAACTATGGTCGTCGTGTCGAGTGTACCTCGCTGGCCGTAGTTTAGAGTGAATCGACATAATGGGCTGGCCTTTCTCACAGCGATGGAACTCGTCACATAATGAACAAGTCCTTTAGAACTTGTGCGTACGCCTCGAAGGGCGAGAGAGGGCAACGTAGGTCGTCCATGTGTGCGCGATTGAATTTTTGTTTTTCCCGATTTTTCTGAATTTTCCAACGATCCACATCATCTTGTGTTATTCGAGGACACTACCAAGCGCATACATTGGGTATTTTGATGTCCTTGACAATATTTCCATGCTAGTCATAATCATAAGACAATATAATATCGATATTGGATTCTAAATAAGCAGACTTAAGGCGCGACGCCGTGGCACTTTTTCATATGGCGGGCAAAGTTGGAGCGCTGCGTGAAGGTCCGGTGGCAGTCAGCAACATGACAGGCGAAGGGCTTGACGCCATAGTGCTTCCACACGTGCTCCTTGAGCGACCCGCTGTGGGCGTACCGCTTGGTGCAGCCGTCGTGCGTGCACATGTACGGCTTGATGCCTTCGTGCGCCTTGTGGTGCGCGCCGAGGTTGGAGCTATGGGCAAAGCGCTTGCTGCAGCCGTCGTACTTGCAAGCGAACGGCTTGCTGCCCGTGTGCGTCCGCTCGTGCGTCACGAGCTCCGACTTGGCGCGGAACCGCTTCTTGCACACGTCGCACACATGCGGCTTGGGCACCGCCGGCGGGCGCAGGCCGAGGAGCGTCGCGAGGATGTGGGCGTCGGCGGGCCCAAAGGCCTCTTCCTTGGGCGCCCAGAGCCGCGTCGGCTCCATGTGATCGTCCATCGCGCGAAGCAAGAATGGCATGCTACAGCGGTTATGCCTCTTCACTTCATGGGAAGATCCACCGCGTCAATTTTATCCGGACTTCTTCGCGTATCCGGACACGCCTCGCGAAGATCGTTTCGCTCGCTCACGCCAAGTCCTCAGATGTTTGTACGCGTACGACTACGACGAGTTTATACCTAAGCTAGTCGTTGGTGTATGCGTACGACTCCACGTCCATGTTGTTGTTGATGATGGAGCTGCGATGTCCCGTCGCGACCGGTCGCCTTGCCCTTGGGGATTGCACGGTTGGGCATCTCCGCCCGCCGACGTCGCTTCTTCCTCCCATCTCCACAAGCCGCCTAGCTGAAACGACTCGCTGAAACGGGTTGCAACCTTCTCGCCATGATTGTGGCATGCATCAACGCGTCGGACTGAGTCGGGCCGTGTTGGGTCTTGCACGAGTTCATAAATAGAAAAGTCTCTTAGACTACTATCGGTAGTCTGTGAAAATGAAAATATTGTCCACGCGCTTGCCGACTAGCCCGACATCAAACGATACAACATACTAGTACTACCGTATACTTGGGTGGAGCTCTAAATTTTGATGAGCAAGGCGTGGTCAGCGACGCTTGCGCAACTGCCTTTTGTCGCACTCGCGGCTACCTTCTTTTCGGTTCCATCGTTCACTTGCCACTCACTTCGGATGTCGAGCATGATTGACCAAAACGAGAAATTTGCACTCTAAAACGAGAAATTTGCACTCTCAAACCAGAAAATTACACTCAGAAGAAACAACATGTCCGTTGGAATGAAATATATAGCATCATAAATGGTAGCTCGTATGCATGTAAATAATCCTCGTAGCGACTACGGCGTTGTCGTGTCGTCGTCCTGCATCGCCACTTGCACTTGATCGGTGGCCGCTGCCTCGGTGGCCGGCGTCGCGGGTGCCTTGATCCACCGGCGTCGACGCACGCAGCGCCCCATAATCTTGTTGATCCCGCGCTTGAGTTTGCCGGGGTGTTTGATGCGCAAATTCTCACGGTCGAGGTCCAATTTGCAAAAATCGGCAAATTTGGTCGCATATTCCCAGTGCCCGCCGTCGGCTTCGCACGCTTCTTCGATGCCAATACTCTTGTCAATGATCCAGTCGGCGTCCTGTGTCTTGGGGCGGTGGCTCGCGCCAAGCGCCATGTCGCGGTTGCAATACTGAAGCGGGTCCGCGAGCGTAAATGGCGCACTCCAGCCCAGAAACACTTGGTACCTACATCGAGTTGCATTCGTCGCTTGCTGGAAGGAGGACATGGGTGTACCGCTGGACTTGGTAGTAGTGCGGGACGTCCATGCTGTCGACGCCGCGCCAAAACTGGACTTCGGCGGCAAAGACGGCGCGGGGACTCAAGGCTCGGGCGAGAGCGTGCTCGACGTGGTGCAGAGTCCGCACGGGCGCCAAGATGAGGCTTCGCAACGCGCCGCCGTGTCGGTCTTCGAGCGACGCCTGTGAAAACGCAAAACCGCAATACGCCGGCCGCGCCGGCCCTGGGCCTCGAGGTGACTTCACAATATGAATCGCGAGGGTTGGATCTAAAGCAAACCGATGAGGGTTTATGAACAAAAGCGAATCACAGGACGACCTCGAAGCGGCTTGAGCTCGGACGTCAGGTAGCAGCGAAAGTCGACCTTGAACGGCTTGTAGTGCTTGGGAATGACCGGTCCAGTCCACGCAATCTTGTCGCCGAGGTCGAGCTTCTCGGCCTCTTGGAGGACGTGGTAGTACTCGGGTCGCCACTCGCGCTTGAAGCTTTTATAAATCAAGTCCCGGAGCAGCGCCATGACGACGCAGAGGAACACAATCATGTAGCTCTCGGGCAGCGTGCAAATGTAAGGGAAAATGTGGTCCGTGATCGCACTCGACATAAAGTTGGAGATGACGTAGCCCGAGACGACCCAGAACGGCAATGTGACCCACATGGCAAAGTGCATGCCTACCATTTTCTCAACAACCCAAATCTCAATCTCAAAAACACGCTACCGAGGTTCCACGAGACCGTGTTGAGACCGAGCTTTGCCCACCCGACGGCAATGACGGCACAAAATGAGACACCGCCGCAGTTGAGCAGCGAGAACGAGTTGCCTTGCGAGTCGACACTGCCGAGCAAATAGAGTGGCACGAGCGTGCACACAGCCTACATTGGAATTTAGCGCTCTTGCATCGCATGTGGCGCCTACCGCTTCGTACAGTCCTTCAAAGATCCAGGCCGTAAAGATGCGCAAGCTAAGCATCTCGCCGTGCGCTCCAATGTGGTAGAGCCCCGGGTTGTGAAACGCCATGGACGCCGACGTCTCTTGCTCCATGACGGCGACAATCATGATCGGGAGGAACGTCCAAAAGATGTTGTAGCCGTTGAGCCAGTAGTTGTTGACGTACAGGGTGCCCGAGCCGCCCGCGTACACGGCAAAGACGTAGACGCTGAAGTAGCAAATGATGTTCTTGTAGACGACGTAGAGCACGAGCTTGCACATGCGGTGGTAGTTCCAGTGGCCGTGGACGAGGAGGAGCCGGCGAAGGTACTCGAATTGCGCGATCGCAAAGTCGCTCGCGTTCACAGCCTGGAGCCCTTCGTGGCCCGAGATACCAATGCCAATGTGCGCTTCTTGGATCATGCTCACGTCGTTGGCGCCGTCGCCGATCGAGAGCGTCCGGCAGTCGGCAATGTTCTTCTTCACGAGCGCGACGACCTCGGCCTTTTGCTTGGGCGAGACGCGGCAGCAAATCACAGCCTTGCAACACTGCGCAATCTCGAGAAAGAGAAACTTGAGCTGCGGGTACATCAAGATAACCTTGAGCACTTGGCCGTCAATCACGATCGCTTGCGCCTGGACGTTCTGGAACGAATTCGAGGTGCCGCGCGCCGCTTCGTACGCCCGGACGACCTTGACGCGCTCTGTCAGCACCCGCTGGAGGTAACTCGCCATGTCCTCGTTTGGGCCGCACGCATCGCTGTTGAGGACCACACGGTCCATGTCGTCGGTCAAGAGCCGACACGCGTACGCAATGTTGATGGCCGTCTCTTCCTTGTCGCCGGTCAAAACCTAGTGCGCATAAGATCTTGTTGCAATACAATATCGAGACACGTACCCAGACTTTGATGCCAGCGCTCAAGAGACATGCAATGGTCTCGGGCACGCCGTTCTGGAGCCGGTCTTCGACGGCCGTCGCGCCAAGGAGCTCAAGGTCCGTCTCCATCGCCTCTTCGAGAGCTTCGATCCGCGCCAGGTCCTCCTGCAGGCAAAGTATTGGCATCCTTTTTGACTAGATATGTGTACCGTGTACGTCGGCGAGGTGTCATCGAGCGTCGTGAGCGCGTGCTTGTAGTCGGCCGCCCACGTCGTGTACCAGTCTTCGTCGAGCGTGCGCTGCGCAATCACGAGCGTGCGCAGTCCGTCGGCGGCGTACTGCTCCATGTGGGCCATCGTCTGGCGCTTGAGCGCTTCTGGCACGTCGCTTGCGAGCCGCGGGTAGATGATCTAAGGCAATAGCCAGTCGGTTCATGATCGTTAGCGCAAAACAATACCATGTCGGCCCCCTTTGTCATGAGCAAGAGGCGGTTGCTGGGCGTGCGGCAGATGACCGACATGCGCTTCCGCGTCGACGTAAACTCGATGAGCTCGAGGATTTGGAATTCCTCGTCGCACGCGGCGCCTTGCACGAGTCGGCGCATCTACACAGCGTAAAACTCTGCGTGAAGCGGCGAGAGATCAATGATTGTACGGTGCATTTGCCAGTCGACCGACCCACAAACGTGAACCCAAGGAAGGCGGCCCCCGCCACAAGCGCAAGCTCATCGGGCGACGACGCGGAGAAGCTCGATGCGCCTGTCGCATCGTCCGTCTCGACAACGACCGAGTGGCACACCGCGAGGTGCGTCAGGAACTTCGCCAAATTCGCTGCTTGGTGCGGAATGAGCCAGTCTTTTGCGAGCTCGTTCTTTGGGTCGAGAAACTGCACGTTGGGGATCGTGCGTCCATGCAGCGGCTCGGCTTCGAGGTCCGTGACAGACGCGACGCGCCCCGCGCGTGTCTGGGCGGCGCGGCCAATGTCGGTCGAGCCGCGGCCGTACGACCGCCCGGCGACCGAGAGCTTGCGAAAATTCATTTCATTGGCGGTGAGCGTGCCCGTCTTGTCGCTGAAGATGTGCGTCACTTGCCCAAGCTCGTCGTTGAGGTCGGCGTTGCGGACCATCGCTGGCGTGTCGGACGGGGCATGGTACATGCCTAGTTCATTTTGGTATCAGTGTCCAACTCTCCAATTCTCAAACATCTCGACACTCTCCAAACTCAAATTTGCCAAATTTGCCAAATTGGCAAACTTTGCAACAAAAAATATGAAAATCGACGTACCGAGGTCGCGGTTCATAAAGATGGTTTGGTAGCTCTTGACGATCGCGATCGACACGTAGAGCGTGATGGGGACGAACGACGCAATGAGGATCCAGTAGTAGCCAAACATGACGACGCCGCCCGAAAATGAAATCGTATACGCGTTGAGCGAGTCGCCGACGCCAAAGTAGAGGTACCATGGCGCATTTGCATGCATCCACGTCAGATCCAAGATCGTGCCGACGAAGCAGAGCGCAATGAGAATCGCCATCAGGATGAAGATGCCACGGTTGATGATCTCGAGCGCTTTGCTCGTCTTGGTCGGCGTCTTGTTGGACGACTGCATGACCTTGGTGTCGGTCCCGGTGTTGAGGACGAGGCCATACACAAACGGCGTGTTGCGAATGACGCAGCCGCGCAGCGCGACGTTCTTGAGGTCGAGCGGGAAGAGCGTGTCGCTGCCTTCGTCCGGCTCGTACCGTCCATTGAAGCTGTTGATGTCGTGGTTGGGCAGCTCGCTAAAGACGCGACCGGGCAGACGACCGAGCGCGCTTGGGTCCGAGAGCTGCGCGTACGTGCACGCAAGCGCTTGGCGGATCTTGAGGTTCGTCTCGCCGTCGAGCGACTTGGTCTCGACAAAGCACATGCCAATGGGCGACGACGGGTTGGCCTCGTGCACCTAGGATGGTATAAGACAAGGGTGGTGCGCGCAGGCGTACGGCAAGGAGGAGGACGTCGGCGGGCACGGCCTCGTACTTTTTGATTTGAAGAATGTCGCCGACCGCTACGTCCTTCCACGCCCGCTGCACGAACGGGTCGGACGCGTTGGCACTGGCTCGGTCGTACACGAGCGTCGTCCGCGCGTTCATGACGGCGTCGGCGCGGTGGCGCGCGACGTCTTCGAGGCCTGTGAACACGCCATCGACAAAGAGCACGATCGAGAGCACCATCCTGCGCATGCACTTAGCACCGAGAGATGGGATGTCACGGTGTACCATTGGTAGGGCAACCCGAGCGTCGACGAGATCGAGGGCAGGAGCTGGCCGACGCCAACGAGAAGAAAGTAAAAGTTGGCCACCTGCGCGAGAATGAGCGAGACGCCATGCGGTCATGTGCGTACCCGCGTGAAGCGCTCGTAGAGGAAGACGGGCACGAAGCTATAGAACGTGTACTTGCTCGTCGCGACCGCATTGTTCGGGAAGCCCGCGTTGGCCGACGGGTTGTTGAGGTGGACGATGCGCCAGTGCGTCGGGTCGAGCACGGACGCCGACGGCGTCGGCGCGACCGGTGCCTGCTCCGTCGTCATGGCTGCGACTCTGGAAATAGCCAACGACGAAATTTGGGTTTCGAGCTAAATTTGCTCACAAAGCTCGAAACGACCGGCGCCTTTCTGCAAGATCCCGGAACCATGGCGAAGCCGCACGCACGAGCAGTGGCGCAAGAGAAGCTCAGACATGCAGCCCAAGAAGAAGCCTCTAGATGGAGGCCATGCGTACCTACAGCAGCATGGGCTAGATCGATCAAGCTCGCAGGGAGCTCCAACTGCCCAAGATACGGCAATGATAGCGAGCGTTCCTCCGAGGTAGACGCACGCCATAATGCTAGTAGGATGCAGTCAATGCGATGCTATCTCCAGCTTCCAGCTGCAGGTCATGCGTCAAGTTGCCACTGGCGCCTGTCCAGCGACGCCGCTTCCTTCGCATGCTTCGGTTTGAAACGCCAACATCCGGATAAGGCGATCGGATTCCGGATAATATACGACCTCGGTTTTGCTGCAGTTTAAAATCGTGAGAGCGTGTGGCAGCGTCGTTGAGAAGATGCGCAAGGCGAGGGTACTACGTAGTACTAGGCCATAAACGATTCCATGAAGGTTAGTATGGATGTATACGTACTTGAGAATGGAAGGAGTAAAGACGGGTGGTGGCGTCGACAACCGTTTCGACAGAGACTGGCGCGGTGGCACTTTGGCCGGCTGCACCCCGTTTTTCAGAGACGAAACGAAATATTTGTTTAAAAACTCTAGTATTTAGTGAACGGGTTCTCGATGTACACAGTTGTCCTTCGCTCGCCTTGCCCATTTATCGTTGTCGATCACGCCAATATGGTGATGAGTTCGTTCAGAGTTACAATCAAGAAGGCATCATCGACAAAGCTATTCGCGCATGCTACGTTGCTCGGCGCGACTCTGCTGCTACCCGCGAGATAGATGCCGATACAGCTCGATCGTATGCCTCGTGCGCGGCGAAGGGTTTGTGACGTCGTGGTGCAAACCTTGACACAGAGGCAAAACGCGCACAGAGTGCCACGTCACACGTTAAACGAGTTAAAGTGCCGTGGCATGGGACAAAAAGGGGTCCGTGCAAGCCAACGTTGCCTCACACGGGACGGTGCGTCGTGAGAAAGCTCGCGATGGACTCGATCATGCGTGTTGCAGTAGCTGCGGCGGTGTCCTTGCCCTTTGTCTTGGGCAGATCGTGGCCAGCGTTCTCCAAGACCACGACGTCGATGGCTGGATGTGCGAGGGCCTCAAGCGTTGCCTGGAGAAGCGCAGCACCCGCAGTGTCGAGATAAGGCCGATGCAAGAAGTCGTCGGCGTCGCCACTGAGAACCAATGCCGGTGTTGTCGCCGGTAAAAGGCGTAGCTGGACCACACGCTCATCCTACAAGGGCATGAGCATCGTGTCCATGCGGCTGGACTGTAGCACGTTGTTCTTGGGACCGTAGAGCGGGAAGCCCGAGAGAATGACACCGCAAACGTCTCGTAGCGCGCCAGCACCAAGCATCTCGCAGAGCACACGGTTGCCAAAGCTATGGGCAAAGACGTAGAACGTGTCGACGCCGTAGGTCGCGAGGTCGGCTGTCGAGGGGCAGCAGCTGCGAACGAGCTCAAAGTTGGCTGGCGCGGCTGCCTTTCGAGTGTTCCAGCGCCGACGCTCGTCGATTGCGTTGTGTATAACGACGTCGCTTAGCTGCGAAAGCACCAGGTCGTGCATGGCCTTGCTGAACGAGCCCGAGGCGCCGGGCAGCACGACAAGAACGGCCTTGGCCTTCGTATGCACTGCAGGCGCGACCTTGGTGCGCGCCGCCTTGGCCTTCTTGGGCGCTGGTGACTCCTGGGCAGGCTCTGGGGCGGACACGGGTCGCTTCTGCCTCGCTGACCGTCTCATGCAAGCAAATCGAAATGGGCGGAATCGGCACATGCCATTTTTAAATCACGACGCGCGTTGCGCGTGAGCTTTTCCCTCTGGCGAAGGAAGCACCACATCACGCTGGTATGCTTGGCATATGACACAAGCCAGCCTCGCTTTCAGGACGCGCCCGCATGCGCTCGTACCTGGTGCTATACTGTTGGATGGCTTTGGATCGCGTTTATTTTCGGCAGCTGCCGATCCACGAATCGCATGGTGATTGGTGGTATTTTACCCAATCCGCGCGACGGTCGTTGTTGGGCAGCATGGTCGCCGGCTTGAGGCGGCTCGCCCAGCAGCTCTGGCTCGCCCTCCTCACGCTCTGCGCGCTGCTGAGCCTGCCGTGCAGCATGCTGCGCTGGCTGCGCCACGACCACTCTCACCGGCTGCGGCGCCAAGATTGGTACTTTATCGCGTGGCGCTTTACGTTTCCAGTGCTCACGCTGTTGCTCGTGGTGACGCTGAGCTGCGTCGGGCACCTCGCGGGCGTGCTCGGGTACGCGGCCGTCGCCGGGTCTGTCTGGTTTTACTGCAATCTGCTCGTGATTGCGATGCCCTTTGCGCTCGTGTACCGCTACCCGCTGTTTAGCCATCGGCTAAAGGCCCTGTTCTGGAATGGCCTCGCTGTCTTTAGCGTCTTCAACAGCCTCATCGAGTGCTTTGTTCTCACCGAGGGCAAGCGCCATAGCGCGACGCACAGCATCTCGATCGGCCAAAGCAAGCTGAGCTGGCTCATGGGCAACACCATGTTTGGCATCGTCGGGTTGGTCGGCGTGCCATTTTGTTTTGCGATCCAGCCGCGTACGATCCGCATCGAGGTCGAGTCGGACGATGCACGCTCCGAGGCACAGCCATCGCTCTCGACATCGTCGCTGTCGACCAGCGTTCTCTCGTCTTCCTACTACCCCCACGACCTCCCGCTGCTTCTCGAGGCCACTGACGACGACGACGACGCAACGATGGCGCCGACGCCGACCACGCCCATCTCCAACCGGTACGAACACGATCGCGCTTCATGGACGAGAGCATACACGGTGCTTCTAGGCTTCTGTACGCCGCTGGCGCCAGCGTCCTCGCCTGCTTTCTCGCGATGATTTGCTCGAACTTTCCGAGCCAAGCGCGAACGCCGGCGTCGTCGCTCGATATGTACTGGTGGCCCCTCTACGCGCTCTCGCCGTGTCTCATCGGCTACTTCCTGTACCACACCTTCCTCGTACGACGACGCGTCATCTTCTCTTTTGGTGCAAAATGGATATGTAGATGCCCTCGCCGTTGGCGCGGGCCAGCGACGCCATCAACGTCTCGGACACGCAGTACGACTTCAACTACCTCGTCATCTTTACGACGGTCCTCGTGCACGTCCCCGTCTTTGTCGGCCACCTCTGCTTGGAGCTCTTTGCGGTCGTCGCAGCGACACACAAGGACGACGGCGGCACGACCAGTACCCTCAAGTTTCTCGTGTCGTGTCTTTTCTTGGTCGTCATGCAAGGCTACCTCTACGTGCTGACGCGCGTCGTGCAGACGCTCTCCGAGCCGTACGCGTACCCGTCGTTATTGTACAGCGCGCAGCTGTACTACTATCTCTTTTGGTATCTCATGGTCGGGTCCGACACGCCGATCGATATGCTCTACGTGGCGATGCTCGTCGTCAACAACTTGCACGTGGTGTTTGCCAACACGGGCGTGTATACCGACGTGACGCAGCTCAGCGTCCACTGCCTCCACCCCAAGCTCCAGTGTCTCTCGGTATACATTGTCGTCGCATCTCGAGACAAGGTGTCGATGCAGCAGTTATATCGTAGATGTGTCTGGGGTCGTCGGTCGCCGTTTGTTTTCGCGCGGCCAAGTCGAGCGTCAAGACGGACGAGGACGGGATGACGGTGCCGCATTTACCCCCGTCCCCCGCCGTAGGCGATCCTTGCATCGATGAGTGTTCTCATTGCGAGACTCTGTAGGCGGCGCGGCAACGGCGTACGTGCTTTCCAGAACCGCCCAAAGCCAAAGACGAGGACAGCGTCACGGGCCCGCAGCTCCATCAACTGTACTTTCTCATGAAGCTCGCCGAGCAAGATATGATGGCCGACACGAGTGCGCTTGTCCTTGTGCCCTCGATCCTCTCGTGGCTCTCGGTGGTCGAGACCCCCGAAGAGGCCGCGACGCATGGCCCACCGCCGCTCCTCAACATGTGGCTGCGCTGCCTCGTCATGTTTTTCGGGCGCCTCGGCGGCTCGTTCTTGGCGCGCGAGATCTTTGCGTACAAGATGCAGAAGATGCCGTCGTCGCAGCAAACCGGGCGCGACCGCATTCGCATCCAGCGCATCATGCTCGCCGACTTTTACCGGCAGTTTTGGTATCTTGCGGCCGTCACGACCGTGTGCGCGTTTGCGTGCTTTGACAAGGCCGGGTGGCCCGCACGGTATACCTTTTATACGACCACATAAGACCAAGCACAGTGTACACGCTTGTCGGGTTATGAGGACGGACTGGAAAACGGCAATCTCGAAGCGAGGGGTAGGGTTTCGACGCATCGTTCGCCATCGACTCTGGCGAGCTAGCTGCCTCAAAGTAAAGACGAACGAACGGGTTCTGCGGTATGTATTTGCTAGTAAACTGTCGCTTATGTCGCGACGACCGCTCGCACTATCCATGTGCAATACACTGTACGAGGAGCAATCCCGAAAAGGAAGTGTTTCATGCCCTTGACTCTCCTCGACGGCCGCGCCGCAGATGGCGGCGTGGGCATGCGACTGACGCGGTTGTCGTCGTGGGGGAGTGCTGGCGGCTACAAGTAAGGACCATAACGTCCTTCCTCGCATGCAACGCAAATGAGCAAGCATTGGGCACCGCGTGGAAGCAGCGCCGCAATGAAGAGCTTGCTCGTTAACGCTGGTAGAGGTTGTAGGTTGGTGGTGACACGGATATTCAGCCATTTGTAGTACAAATTATGACTAATGTAGTTAACGATTATGCACGCGCAGTGTGATCATGGGGTCCACGAGGCCATCCATGTCGTACAGGAACGACGCGTCGGTGCTGTAGTCGACGTCTTCGGAATAGTTGCGCGGACGCAGCATGGACGGCCGCACCGGCAAATCCAAGCTGCTCTTGCGCGGTGGCTTCGGTCGCCGCGGTGCCGACTCGTACACTTGCAGATACGCCATGTCGACGCCGCCGCTGCCAGTAACCGGTGGCGGCTCGGTCGACCACGCATCGTTCTCACCGTCGAGCGAGTTGTCCGACATGCTCTCCGTGTCGCGCAGCCCGGGCATCGATGCGGGCGGCAGCGACGAGCGCACGGTCTTGGAGCAGACGTGACACACGCGCATGGGCGCGCTCGCGTCGGTTGGCATGGTCCACTTGCGGCTGCAGCTACTACATACCACCTACTGACGAGTCATACGAGAACGCAAAACTCGCGTGAGCTACCTTGCCGCAGGGCTGGCACGTCTTTGGACGGCGAAACCGGAATGAACTGCTGCAAAGCATGCAGTGCTTGGGCCGTGTCGTGACCGGCAACGACGTCATCGACAAGGACTCGAGCAGGACCGTGTGGCGGAGGCGCTGCTGGTGCACGTAGTCGTCGACCATGGTGATCTTGCGCGCCCGCCGACGCACAGCCAAATGCATGGCGAAGTGGGGAATGGAACCCTTGAAGTCGGACGCAATGTGGTAGACAACGTCGAGGACGCCGGGCGTCGCAGTCTCCAGGAAAACGCAGCCGGTGTGCTCGAGGGACCCGCGGACGAGGTCGAACTGCCTGAGTGGCGCGCAACACGCCGGTAGCTCAATCGACGACTGGCAGTACGCCCAGCCCCGCCGCCCAGATGCCATGGTAAACGTGTTTTGGCCCTACTTTCTTGTAGGAAAAAAGAGGAAATTGCACGGGAGTATACCTCAAGGTAGAGGTAGTCGCGGTTGCTGATGACCGAGAGCGGCGACTGCACGGCCGCCCACTTGACGTAGGTTTGGCGGTGCGGCGCGTCTGGTGACCGATCGCGGAGCGAGTAGAGAGGAATGATGTCGAGAATGTCGCTTGCGTAGCAGCGCATGTACTCGAAGCACTTGGCGCGCGTCTCAAAGGCGTGCAGCGCAGCGACTTCGTCGATGGTGGCCGAGATGCGCGCCACCGCTCGGTACGGGACGTAGCCTACACGATCGTCGTATCCTATAATACGACTAGGATTCGGATCTCGTACTGGCATTGGCTGGCAAGGCGGACGAGTGCATCTGGAAGAGGTTGACGCCACTGGTCCGGCCGATGGGCGTCCATGTCTGCAGCTTCATCGGCGAGGTCGCCGACGCAATGAGGTTGGTCAAGTTGACGTCGGCTCTCGCGCGGTACGCGTCGGCGTCGGCTTCCGAGAGCGGCGGCGCATGAAAGAAGTCGTCCGGCAGCGGGAACCGCTTCTTGGTCGGCATGCCAATTGGTGTCTGACAGAGGACGCAATGTGCCAGAGGCGCCACCAGCCGGGTTCGGGACGCGAATTCGAACACGGCAGATGCGTTTCATTGGCTGCTTCTCTGCACAAATCGTTTGTTGTTGTCATCAATCGTCAACTTCAAATTTAGCCTTTCGTGGCCTCTGTTTTGTTGGTTGTGAAGTTGTCAAAGGGCAAAAAGGACAATATGATAGTATCCAGTGTATTCGCTTTGGTAGAGTGCGGTGGCACCAGTATACCGCCGTGCAGCGACAGCACATTTCGCATTTTGTGTCTGAACGAAACGGCAAATCTTGCAGCCGCGAGATTACAGCTGGAAAGTGCAGTATGAGATTGCAGTCGGCGTTGATGTTTGGTTTATGCTACAGGATACGACTACGCTGTCGTCCAAGTGTACTATGAATGGCGCAGTGGTGTGATCACAGCCGGGGCAATAATGTCAAAGTCCCCGCTCAAGTCGGGCGTCGTTGGGTCATTGAAAATGATGTGCTTGGTCGGTGCACTCGTCGGTGCCGCGCGCATCGCGACGGACGATCGCCGGCGCTGGCTTCGGGCAATGGACGACCGGCGGCTTGGCGACATGGGTGGCCCGTACATTTCCACATACGAGAGGTCGCAGCTTTGGCTCAGCGTCGAGACGCGGCTGCTGTCGCTGATCTGGCTGGACGACGACGGGCGGCGAAGGATATCGGACGGGCGGCGCATCGACGGGCGCGGCATCGATGCGGTCAGATTGTCGTCGTCGTAGCGCGTTGACGGGCGGTACACGTCGGGCATCGATGCGCTCTCGACGCCGCGGAGTCGTGGCGCGCCGCCGTCCGACTTTTCCCACATTGAACCGTCGCGCACCGCAAGCGAGCACACGTGGCAGATGCGCACGTCGACTTTTGAATGTTGTAGCACATGCAGCGACCACTTGCGACTGCACTTTGCGCACACAACCTGTCCAACCTCGATGATCTCATTTTGAAAAAGACAAGTTGTGTACCTGGCCGCAGCTCTGGCAAATTTTGGACGCGCGGAAGCGGAACGACACAAAACACGTGGCGCAGCTCTTCGGGGGTGGACCGTGGTGCATGGCGCTCTTGGCGTGGATCGGCAGCTGGCCGAGACGCATCTCGTGGATGTACTTGTCGAGGCGCGCAATGGACTTGCCGCGGCGCTTGATGGCCATTTGCCGCACGAAATGCGGCACGTTGCCGTGGACGTCGGTGCCGAGGTGGTAAATGACGTCGAGGGTCCCCGGTCTTTCCGTTTCCAAAAACACACAACCCGAGTTGGCGAGGTGGCCACGGACCACGTCGTACTGCGGCAGCGCGGGGCACCCGGGCAGCGAGATCGACGACTGGCAGTACGCCCAGCCGCGCCGGCCAGACTCGAGCACAAACGCGTCTTGTGTCTACAAGATATGACGTTGTTGTACATTTTCTGGAGTAGTGGGCGGGTAGTACCTCGAGGTAGGTAAAGTCGCGGTCCTTGATGAGCGCGACTGGGCTCTGGATGACCGACCATTTGATGTACATGCGAGACGTTGTCGCGTCCGAGCTCGTGGGCTCGCTGAGGACGTAGAGCGGGAGCAGACCGAGAACGTCGTGGGCGAGGTGCCGTCGGTACTGGTCGCACTGCGCCTTGGTGTCAAAGCAGTGCAGTCGCGCAACTTCATCCAGCGTCGCGTTGATTTTGGCCAGCGCGCGGTACTGCATCACATCTAAAGCAGCTCTCATATCATATTGGTCCAATTTTTTCAACGGACGTACTCTTGTCGGACGTGCTCGGGTCCGTGGCCTGGAAGAGGCTCACGCCATGCGCGTCGCCGACCGGGTCCCACACGAGCGCGTTGTGCTGCTTCTTGGTGACACTGGCGACGAAAGTGCGAAGGAGGTCGTGGCCGCGCTCTCTCAGCGTTGCTTTTGTCTCGGGCGACAGCTCGGGAGTCTGGAAGACGCCGCGGGGCAGTGTGAAGGACGACATCACACACGGGTTGCGCGGCGAAGCTACAATAATGAGCAATGTCGGAGGAGTCGACCGCGCCGAGGAGCCTTTACGCGCCAGCTGGTACGACCACTTGCAGTTTGTATGGGCGCGCAGCCAGGTGGGCGTCGGTGACACGCAGTGTCGACACCGGGTCCTTTCTCGCATGAGAGGTCTCTGCGACCGTGCGATAGGTCAGAGCAGCACAAGCAGTGCCGAGTCGAATGGACGAGACGTGAAGCGACGCGCTGCGATACTGTGCAGGGCGAGAGACGCGGTATCTACACTCGGATACGTAGGACTGCTGCTGGTTCTCGTGGAGGAGTGTCGGAACTCGGGCGCACGATCCCTGCACAATCATCTTGCTCGTTCTCTTGTGTACGGCAGTGCGTTGTCACGTGTGCTGGTGTGTTGTAAACCGAACTGCTTCTTGTCCTATGCGATGCCGCGGACTCGTATATATTTGCGGCGGCTACTACTGTTGTCACTGCGCATGTGGGCGAGCACGGTCGTCGTAGAATCTGGTGCGGCCACCTTCTTGTGGTCGAGAGGCGCCGACGTCCAGCCGGTATTCTAGGGTTCCGGTAGTCATCGTCGTCGATTGGACCTAAACGCATTTCGTGTCAAGTCTGCGTCAAGAAGAGAGGCAACTGAATCTTCTAGTGGTTGAGCTACAGGTTGTATTGGCCCCCAGTGCAGTCCGTCGATCCACAATACAATAAACACATAATGTCATTGACCAGTACTAGTACTGGTATACGGGTATGTCGT